CTCAGATTTTGTTCAAATTTAAGGTATGTTGGCTTATATCTTTATCCTTATTTCCATAATTAGTGGACATTAGTGTTAGTATAACAAGGAATTAGAACATGGAGATGCATGGATGCAATTGTGTATTAAATGATATAATAATAACCTTAACCCAAAACCAAAAGAAAAATGATTTAAATGCTAAAGAAAAATTGCATTAAATGGTTGAAGAGTTTTCTTGCTACAGATACGTGGATGCAAGGGAGGAGGAGACTTCAACTCAAGCGTATGAGTTAGTCACAGGCGTGAGTTCCATTAATGTAATATATTTTTCTTCTTCTAGGTGGTGTTTGGTTCCATTCTTTTCAACATTTTTCTATGCAAATGAAGTAAGGTTTTTTAGAAAGCCAACATTTGTTTCAACAGATTATGATCAAATCCCCATCCATGTAATTTGCATGACTTTTTCAACTTTGCCTGAGAAAGAAAGGTATCGGCACTGTTTAAAAAGCAAATTTGAGGGTGGTTTTTTTTTAAAACCCGGATAAAGCACTATTGACACACTTTGAGGACACCCATTATACCCTCCTCGATGATTAATAATGTTACACACAACAGAGAGTAGAACTTTTTCATCCGTTGTATATCTGTGACAATAATTAATATTCAGCATATATATATATATATATATATATATATATATATATATATATATATATATATATATATATATATATATATGGAAACAAAGTCCACTGATGAATAGCGATTTTGTGAACAAGCATTTTTATTCAAGAATAAAATAAATTATCCCATCTCACTACATTTTCACCTGCATTCTATTGCACCGTGTAGGAGACAAGCTCTTCCTCTTGACTCGTGAATTCTTTTTAAGTCTGTTTCCGAATTTAATTAAAGTTCTTTTTGGTTATAATTAATATTAGCAAACAATGGGTGATTTAATGAACGTATTTAAGACAAAGATAAAAGCTTACACATATATAAACTTCTGTGACAATTGGAAACAAGTTAGGCACATTCTGTTAACATTATAAGAAGTTCAAACGTACATTCATCATTCATATTGTACAGAATTCTCTTAAATTCATTTTAGACTGCACTCGTCATACTAAACGTACAAGGTTATTTTCGTAATGTTGTATTATTTTCTCCATCTATATTTTACAAAAAGCCAAACATAGATTTTACAAAAGTTACCTAATTTCTCCAGTAAAATTTTTCCAACCAAACAACTTTTTTTACATTTTCCTACCAAACTCACTTTCCAACCATTTTCCTAATAATCACATTTCCCTATTATTCTTAAAAATTTCTCATCAACCAAACGCCCCCTAGTGTAAAATCACTAGTTGTTCAGTTTTCGTAAAAAGTTTTATCTTTGAAATACTACTGAATGAAACCTCATGCCTTTATTTGTTGTTTATTATATGTGTGCTCAGATGCTTCAAGATTCAGGCTTACTACATCATTTGTCAAAGCCCATGCCAGTTTTTGGACAAGGATTTCCATCTTCTTCTATATTGAGAGACCCATCCCATCCTACTATTTTTTTTTTTGCACCAATGCCCATGATTTATATTGAAAGTTGGAACCATCATTGACATGTAATATTTATTAAAAGAAAAGAAAAGTGGTACTTTAGCAGCATTATTTGAGTTATCCCTCGCATAAATTAGATAGTGAGGTACAATATCGAATTGAACCATTGTGGCAAATTTTGTATATAAGAGAATAATCCAATTCATGTTGTTCTATAACTTCTATTTTTAATGCTAATTTCAAAGCGATGATGTACAATATTATTTTTCAATTTCAGGGATGCTTCTTTAGGCAATTTTATAAGGTTGACTACCAGACTTTGCGCAACAGGTTTATCATTGTGAGTCTCGCACTCCTCAAAGAACATGTTCTTGACATTGTGGATTTATCTTTCTTCTTTTTTTTATAGTGAATTATGTATAGGTCCACCTGGCTTCTAGTAGAAGATTTAATTTCGTAGATTTAATTTCCAAAAGTATATCAAAAGATCACTAGAAGATGGCTTCAAGGTAGTTGTGGGAGTCAGGTAACAAAACAGTCTTTGACACAATGTATTTGCAATTTTGCATCATCATATTATATATGGTTTTTCTAGTATAACTAGATTGAAATATGTGCTCTGGTCCACTGTGTTGTTAACAGTCCTGTCTTTTAGGTATCAGTTGTAGTTTTCCTGCTTCTAAATGTTAATGGTGAGCAACTATATTCTTAGTGGGGTCTTATGAAATTTATTAATTCAACAGATGAAAATTCAATTAATTATAACATTTGATTAGTCTCATATAATTTTCAGGTTGACATACTTCATTATAGGCATCCTTAATTCCTGTTGTTGTAAGCACTTTGTTTTATGTACGAAATTTTCAAGTTGGTTGAGATTCACAATTATATTCATTTAATTGGTTGCAGATAATTTTGGCTGTTGAAATATAACTTACAAGCCACATTGTCAAAGATGGCTCTTGTAATCACAGATAGACATGCAGTTGTCCAAGGAATTCCTCTTGTTCAAGGTTCAGACAAATACTTTTGGTTTGGTCGGCCCCAGTTAGTTCTTTATCTTATCTATTTTACTTTGTTCCAAGTATTCAATGAGTTTTGTTTAAGCCAAATCTAGAACAAATGTTTTGATATGTAACACACAATGTATTGCTAATGGTATAACAATAATGTTGCTTCTGCATTCTACAATACAGAAAATAACATATGCTTACCTTGAAAACTAGTCTGTCTATTCAGACAAATCTTATTTTTTTTGGTAAACTTTTCTAGTCGCTTGAATTTGTAAAATTTAAATTTATAGAATTCAATTCAAGATAGTTTGCTAGATCTTCTATTAAAAATATGATGTGAAACTGCCTATGTTAACCTTTGTACTTGTGAGAGTTAAAGAGTTTATCTGAAAGAGTTTTATTTTATTTTTTATTGAAGTATAGCAACTAATTCATTTTTCCTATGCTTGCATAATTCGTTCCAAGTGACATATATCTTGTGAACATGGGTACTGACCGTTACATCTTAATATTGAATATTGACTAATGTCTTTTTGTTGTCTATATTCCTGAATAATAAAAGAATAATTTCTTTATTTGCAGTATTCTTTTGGGCTGAAATACTGTTTCCGTGTTGACTCTATGTTTGTTGCAATTTGATCTGAAAAATAGTGCATTTCGTATTTTGGTTTAACTGGTGCCTTTATATGAATATGTAGTTGGTTGAGGCTATATCTGCTTTTGAAAACAATAGTCTAGAGGGGAGGGTTGTAGCAGCAACCGGCATTAGAATGACTGAAGCCTCTCATAATACCATAAAGGTATAAATTATTAAAATTAATTTTATTATTTCTATTTTATTTTATGGTTATTATCTTTTATTATTATATTATATTATTATAAATTTGAGATATTACAATCCATGTGTTAATAAACTGAAAAATAAAAGAGCGCAAATAAAAGAGCACGCACAACGCACAGGACACAATGTTTTTCGAGATTCAATTTTATAAATAAAAGTATTGTTCTTAAATTCCTCTTTAATTTTTTTATTTAATCCAAAATAAATATGCGATTTCAAATTAGAAAAAAAATGCTGAAATTCATATTAATTTTACTATTAATAATTTGAAAGACAGGTTAGAAAAAAAATTAAAACAAATTAGAAAACACAAAAGAATTATATTATGCTAAAGCGAATCACAAGTTAGGAGAAGCTCTTGGATTAGGTTTGCAGGATTGTGTTGTGATGCTATGCATACGCAGCTACATCACCCTTCCATTATATGCTCTTGTAACTCAGAAACTAATGTTTTTACTTCCTTTTATGTTATATGATTGGAGACATTTTCCTGCAAGGTTTGATGATTTCATTATTAACTCTTGAGTTGAGATGAACTTAACTGAGAGCAAGTGTATTGTTTATCCAATATAATTCCAAATGCTACTAAGTACTTCGCCATATAAACCCTCTTTATGTTTTATAATCTATTTCAATCAAACCATTCACATGAAAAAAAAAAGCACTTCTGAAAATAGAGATAAGGACAATCCTTTGTACACGGTCTTATCTTGTATATTTATAAAAAAAAACTTAGTAAAATTTAATTTTGATGCTACGATATCTAATATATCATGTACATTTTATGCATTAATAGGTATCATCATTTATTATTTGATCGTTATCTATAACATTACACTAATTGTACTTGCAAGCTATGAACGTTTGAAATTGGTCTAATTGACCACTATCATGCTAAAACACATGCAGATGGGTTCAAGGATGAAAAAATCAATATTTGATGAACAAACATCCAAGGCTTAAAAAAAACGGCACATGGCTGTGAAAAAGAAACAGGGAGCAGTGCAGCTAGGAAAACCCAACCATGGATGGAAGCTCCATTGGCTCAACATTCCACTCCATCGGATCCATACTTCACCGTTTCAAAACTACTGGCCACTCAACCAATGAGGTATGCGTCCAACGCGCTTCTTTTCTGAGAGCTTTTTTTGTGCAGCTGTCGTACCACACATTTGCCCAAAAAATAATAAAAAAAAAAGGATTTAGATGGAAATATTTTTAAAGGATAAGGATCAAAATAAATACATGCGGGTCCAGATAAATCATCTACGTTTGCTGCAACCAACTTGTGACGACTGACAAGTTCATATAGAATAGATTCAATGATCCAAAAGCAATTTGTGGACTTGCAACTTTGAGTAGATGACAACATTTTTTTTTTTTTTTTTATTTGTGGAATTCAATCTCAATTTCAGCCAAGAACCAGGAATATGCCAGATCGATGCTGTCAATTACCTAAAACCAACAAAAAAATATCTATAAACAATTAAACATTACAAAAAGAAATAGATAATTCCGATAAGCAAAATTCACTAGTAAAACTTAAAATCCAATAACTAAAGATAATATTTCTTGACCACCAAAAAAAGGTGAGAAATTGTGCTTAAATATCCTCAAATCATTTATTATATGGAAGCTCCAACTTCCTCCGAGCTAGATGCAGGTTCCTTTGGGTCTTCATCTGTCCACAATTGTGAAGAAACACCATCTAAGGCAGAATTTAGCTGTGCTATTTTCTCAGATAGCACCTTGCGAGTCCTCTGCTTTAATCACAGCAGAAAATAACAAGAATTTCGATACGGTAATTTGTATAGCAAAATGACAGGACAATATGCACAGTGCAAAAAAAAAAACTTTTAACAAAAGATTGGGGAAGACATCAGAACTCAGAAGTATAAATTTAAAAATCAAATGTTGTGCCCTCAAAACCAAGTTACATAAATAAATTATAAATTATAAATAGATCAAGTGCAACTCTTCACAAGTTCCACTTCATTAATAAATTATAAATACACACAGTAAAGTTTCTTACAAGTCATAATCAATAATTATAAAACCCAACATCAAATTATAACATGGGCTTAAAGTATGAGTTACTTCTTCCCTGAAAGATGTCCACAACCAGCTATACAGGGGCAGACCTAAATTGCAGGTCACGAGGTCATATTCCTTCACTGTCCCAACTTCAAATTATATAATTTTTTGTTGTTATATATTTATATTCCATAATTTATTACGATTTACCCCATACCTGCTTAATATAATTAACATAGAAGTTGAATTCGCTTATGTTATAGCAACATATGACAAGATGATACTATTAAATGATTTATTTTAACAATGAATCATAATTAAACCCTGTTAGCGTATAATGATGTACTTTTATATTTAAATTTGAATATTTTACAAATAGTTTCTTATGTGTCAGTATTGTCCTTACTCATCTTGACCCACTACCTAATTTTTCTGGATCCATCACTACCAGCATAGACCATGTTCACAGCTGAAATTCTTGTATTTTGGATAATTGACGTCAATTTCTGGGTAAACTTCGATGGGGATATACTAAAACCCATTTTTTTTATTCTTTTTTTGTTCAGACACCATTAATGGGCATGGTTTCAAATAAATGGTAACTGCACGTATAATTCCTGACCTCCAGAGCTTTTTCTTCATCATATCAAACAATAGAGAAAGAAGAAAGCAAGTATAGAAGAGAACTTCATACTTTGAATGTTTAAGAAACTGAATCAATGAGAATACAGAACTCAAAGGTCCATATCAGTATATATACAGCAACTAATAAACGAGTAAGAAACAAAAGAACTCTAACTAACTACATGACACGTGGACAATGTAACTAACTGTAAGACACGTAGCTTCAATGGTGACACGACGTAGATAACAAAACTGAGTCTCATCACCCCCCCTCAAGTTGGAAGGTGAATATCATGAAACCCCAACTTGACCAGAAAGTCATGGAAAGATGCAGGGTGTAAAGCCTTCGTAAATACATCAGCCAGCTGCTGTGTGGTCGAGACAGGTAGAAGATGTATCAAGCCAGCAGCAATCTTCTCCCTTGTAACATGACAATCCAATTCAATATGCTTGCTGCGCTCATGGAATGAGGGATTGTGTGCTAAGTGGATGGCTGCTTGGTTGTCACAATATACCATGGCAGGTTGTGTAATTGGAACTTGCAAGTCATGAAGTAAATACGTGAGCCATTGGATTTCACATGTAGCAGCAGCAAGGGCTCGATATTCTGACTCAGCAGATGAACGACTCACAGTTGTCTGTTTCTTGGACTTCCAAGACACAAGAGAAGAACCAAGAAAAACGCAAAAACCTGTGATGGATCGTCTAGTATCAGGGCATGTTGCCCAATCTGCATCAGAGAATGCAGAAACAACTAGCTGATTAACAGAGGAAAAGAACAATCCTTTACCTGGGGAACCCTTCAAGTATCTAAGAACTCTACAAGCTGCATCAAAGTGTGTTTGCATGGGGTTTGCCACAAATTGGCTTAATTGTTGAACAGCAAAGGCAATATCAGGCCTTGTATTAGTGAGATAAAGAAGTCTCCCTACTAGTCTTCGATACTTTGCTGGTTCAGAAAAGACTGATCCTTGATTTTGGCTGAGGCGAAGACCAGGTTGCATGGGAGTGGAGACTGGTTTTGTGCCAAGTAATCCACTGTCTTGCAATAGTTCTAGAATATACTTTCGTTGATTGAGAACTAGACCTTTACTGGAACGGGCTATTTCAAGGCCAAGGAAAAATTTTAATGGCCCAAGATCTTTGATCTGAAACAAAAGATGTAAATGACTTTTAACCATACTTATTTCATCAAAATCATTTCCTCCCAGAACCATATCGTCCACATAAACCAGAAGAGCAGTAAATGATTTCCCATTGGCTTTGGTGAAAAGAGAGTGGTCAGAGGAAGATTGTGAGTACCCAAGAGAGCAAAGTTCCATTGTTAAGCGAGCATTCCATTGCCTACTTGCTTGCTTAAGCCCATATAAGGACTTTCTTAATCTGCATACTTTATGTTTGCCATCAACTGCAACACCTTGTGGAATGGACATGTAGACTTCCTCGGATAGATCCCCATGTAAGAATGCATTGTTTATGTCTAGCTGCTCCAAGTGCCACTGACGAGCCACAGCTACTGAAAGCAGTAATCGAATTGTAGTAAGCTTTGCAACGGGTGAAAAAGTCTCAAAGTAATCCACTCCTTCCATTTGGTTGTATCCCTTTGCCACTAGACGAGCCTTATAGCGGGCAATGGTTCCATCTTGGTTGTGTTTTATTTTATAAACCCATTTGGAACCAATAGGACGTTTCCCTTTGGGCAAATCAACAATATCCCAGGTCTTGTTGCGATTGAGTGCTTCTAGCTCTTCATTCATGGAAGTTATCCATTCAGGAAATTGAGTTGCCTGCTTGTAAGTTGTTGGCTCAATAAAAGAGCTAATGTTGTGACAGAATGAGGAATACTCCATTGAGCATTTTGCATATGAGACAACAGATGATAATGGATGATTAGTAGATGATAGACTGGGTAGCACATCAGCAGAAGAATAATTGCAATGAAAATTAGATAAGTACTTGGGTGGACATCTTACCCGTGTGGAGCGTCTGATATGTGAATTATCTGGTACAGAAATATTGGCAGTATTCTCAGTCTGTGAAGAAACAAACTGAGTCTCATCATTTGAGCTTTCAATGAAAGTTGTAGTTTCGGATGTGTCTAGCCCCTGTGTAACAGGTGGAGACTGTACAGTGGGAATATCATAAAAAGAAGATGCACATTGATCAGTGGGCCATGGATCAACATTATCTGATGGTGATGTATCCATGAAAGGAAAGTGATCCTCATAGAAAATTACATTTCGAGAAACAAAAATCTGTTTAGAGGATATATCATACAAAACATATCCTTTGGTTCCATCCTTGTGACCAATATAAACACATTTTCTTGCCCTGGGATCAAATTTCAAACGTCCTGCCATAATTGTGGATGCAAAAGCAAGACAACCAAAAGCCTTAAGATGTATGATGACTGGTGGAGTATTATGCAATAGCTCATATGGTGACTTATTGTTCAGTTTTGGTGTACTAACTCGATTGATCAAGTGTATGGCATGAATAATACAATAACTCCATAAGCTGATAGGGAGTTTTCCTTGGAAGAGAAGAGCTCTGGCAGTGTTGAGCAAGTGTTGATGTTTTCTCTCAACAATTCCATTTTGTTGAGGTGTCTCTATGCAAGAAGTTTGATGAACAATGCCCTTTTGTCTAAAAAATTCTGTCATTAGAAATTCATGCCCATTATCACTTCGAAAGACTTTAATGGTTTTATGAAATTGATTTTCAATTAGAGCAACAAAAGATGAAATATGATTTCTGACTTCAGACTTTGACTTCATAAGAATACCCCATGTATATCTTGTGCAATCATCAACAATAGTTAGAAGAAATCGATGACCATGAATAGAGGGTACAGAATAAGGCCCCCAAATATCAATATGTATGAGATCAAAAGCATTTTTGGAAACAGTGGAGCTTAAAGCAAAAGGAAGTTTCTTTTGTTTAGCCATGTGGCAGATATCACATGGAGTATCTAGATGTTTACAAGTAATAAATGGGTACTGTAACATCATGGTATTTATTACAGGTTTGGAGCAATGGCCCAAACGAAAATGCCATATATCATTGGCATGTGACTGTAAATTGAAACTACTGTTATCAGAAAAATTCAATTGTTTTGTTGTGTCAGCATTCTTCACAGCATTGATTGGTCCATCTTGGTGCATCACATACAATCCTCTCACCAGATTAGCAGAACCAATCATCTCCATGGATTGTTGATGTTGAATGAGGCAATTTTGAAGCTGAAATGTCACATGACAATCAGTTTCAGAAATCAGTTTATGCACTGATATTAAGTTGACGCCAAATTCCCTTACATACAGAACATCTGTCAACGTAAGTGTTTTAGAAATATCTAATGTACCAGACATATTAGAGTAGACCCGTGTTCCATTGGGCAAGGATATGGCAATTGGCTCAATATACTTGATAGAAGATAAATTGGCAGAGTTAAAAGTGATATGATCAGTGGCTCCTGTGTCTAGGACCCACTGATTTGATGACTTACTTGCTTCAGAAGATTGACTATCGACATTTAGTACATTAGTATGAACCATATTGCTGACATGAGGAGAGGATGGAGGCAAAGCATGTTGCACTTTCATTGTTTGTTGTATCATCTCCATAATGGTGTGATACTGACTTTTAGTGAAATTTTCTTTTGTGTCAGCTTCCCTTGAGTTGTCAACCTGATTGAACTCTTCACTTACAACTGCATTGATCTTATGCATAGGGTTCCTTTGCTTAAACCCAGGAGGATAGCCATGCTTCTCGAAACATGTCTCCACTGTGTGGCTAGTCTTCCCACAATAAGTACAGAGTCTAGATCCTCTTCCACGTGCAGGATTGAATCCCCTTCCCCTTCCACGAGTCTGTCCACGTCCTCTTTCTGGAACTTGTTCAGCAGAATTAAAGAAAATTCTTGAATTGTCATGATGAATTGGACCAGAACTTTCAATCTGCAACTGTCGTTCCTGTTGTGCAACTAAGGAAAAAACTCGGTTAACTGAAGGAAGAGGATCCATGAGCATAATTTGGGACCTCACATGAGAAAATTGATCATTGAGTCCTTTGAGAAAACGAATTGAATAGTCTCTTTCCTTACTGTTCTTAACCTCCACTGCAATTGAACAGCATGGACGAACACATTTACAAGTAGGAGTGGGTTGGAGTGCTTCCAATTCATCCCAAAGAATCTTGAGTCTAGTAAAATAATCAGAGATTGAGCTATCTCCTTGATGTAAACGATAAATGTCATCCTGTAAATCTGATATTCTGAAAATATCAGATTGAGAAAATCTCTCCTTGAGATCTCTCCATACATCATATGCCTTATCCATCCACAAAATGGATTGAGATATAGAACTTGTAATTGAACGATGCAGCCACGAAAGGACCATAGTATTGCATCTCTCCCAAACTGGAAAACGTGGATCTGTTGTGTCTGGTGTCAAAATTGTACCATTGACAAATGATACCTTATTCTTTGAAATTAGAGCCATGGTCATAGCCCTCGCCCATCCATGGTAGTTCTTCCCGTTCATCAGATTTGATACAAGAACAAGTGAAGGATTTTCACTTGGATGAAGGAAATAGGGACTACCTGGATCTAACAGATCAAGAAGACTAGTTTTCATAGGATTACCTTCCCTATGTGAAGGAGTGCTTTCTGCTTCTTTCTCCATTGCAAGTGCAGAACTCTGAATCACCTTCTTGCTTACAGAAAGAGAAAAACGAACAGATCTATCAGCAACAGAATCGATTCGATTTGCATGTGAAGAAAAGAAAAACACAAGAAATCAAATAGATCTAACAGCAGCAAAGTCAAATCGATATGCATGCGGAGTAGAAGAAAAAGAATCGAATTGAAGGCGCATATCAGAGCTCTGCGAAGAGCTCTGATACCATCAAACAATAGAGAAAGAAGAAAGCAAGTATAGAAGAGAACTTCATACTTTGAATGTTTAAGAAACTGAATCAATGAGAATACAGAACTCAAAGGTCCATATCAGTATATATACAGCAACTAATAAACGAGTAAGAAACAAAAGAACTCTAACTAACTACATGACACGTGGACAATGTAACTAACTGTAAGACACGTAGCTTCAATGGTGACACGACGTAGATAACAAAACTGAGTCTCATCATCATACATAAATTTTGGAAGTTTCCTCATAAAATCTTTACTGTCAGCTCCAGTTCCAGCTATTGCCTTGCTTATCTGGAAAATTAATAACATACAAGTCAAAGATAATTAATCTCTTTTTGACCTTTGAACTCATTAAAAAAATGTTAACAACATATAAAAAGCGGCTCTATGTACAAAAATCAGCAGTTCATAAACCTTAAAGAAAAAAATTTAAAAACAAGTAGATTCACATCATCCAGCTCTCTGTTGTCAAGCATATGCACAGCTATCCAGTAAAAGCAGTAGCCGATGGAAATAAAAACAGCATATGAACAAACAGCAAGATCAATCTATGAAAACGAACCCTGATAAATCAATTGTTGAAAAACAACATTTATATGATGATTCATCATTAGAGAGAAAATGAGAAAATGTCACGCAAATAGTGGAAGTAGTTTTTATGATACAAAAGAGCTGTGTCAATAGAAAATGAAGAAATATTGAAATTTGATGCATGTGTACATAATGAGGGGAAGTATCTTACAACTTTATAGGAGTAAAGTGATGGAAATTAATACAGAAAGCCATTGCTGAGTGATGTGTTAAGAATTAAGATTAGATTCACATCTGATTTAAACAAAACTAAACTTTGGCCTAAGTAGAGAGAACTAATGTGTATTTTCCCACGACTAATTTTAGAAGAAAATATTCCACAATATGAATAATTGATACACCTAAAAAAAAAGGTAAACCTCGGTCACAAAACTCCCCAACTTACGAGGGTAGGGGTGATAGTCGATTACAGGCAATCTTACTTTTACATATTTTGCAAAGAGATTCTTTCCAAGACTTGAACCCATGACCTTTCGGTCAGAAAGAGCAACCTTACTGCTACTCTAAGGCTCATCATGAACTTATACACCTAAAAATGACAATAAATTAAAGAAACAAGAAAGAAGGGACCTTCTGCCCTGCCACATGAAAAGAAAAAAATATAAAAGTGGACAAGGCTGGCTCTGCAGACATACCTGAGGTGCATATACACAACCTAATGCACCAACAATTAGTCCTCCCAATACAAAGCCACCAACAAAGACACTTCCACTACTAGGTCTTCCACCGTCCCCACTGTACTAGCAGAGAGATTAAAAACACAAAAAAGTTAGCATAATCCCGAAAGGTGTACCAACTTGTTAAAATTATCTTATCCTTGTATCAAGATTTTAGACAAGCAAATGACTTAAACGTAAGCTACAATCGACAATCACGCCATAAAATTCAATTAGAATAACAAATGAAACCAGAACAAGACTAGCCGTCGGTGTTATTTGTTGAAGCCAAACCAATTTTTAGGCTTATACACTAAATAGGCATGCACAAAAAAATAAATGCACCAGAAATTTTATTTCCAACTCCTACCTTGCTCGAACTATAAGTGGCAGGTTACGTGTTGCTTTTGCCCTAACAGATGAACCTGGAAAGTGTTCACTGGAGCTTATTTTCAAGAAGCATTTATCCATCGGCTTCAACAGGGAACCTGACATTAAATAGTCTGAATATTAGATATCCTGGAAAATCACTAGAAATGGGGGGCTGTTAATACAGTAGCAAGGATCAATCAAAATATTTTATTTCCATGAATCCAGCCCAAAAATGTTATCATTGAGTTATCTTCCACCCATTTATACAAATATATAAAGGGATGTATTATTCTTATGTTACAAAAGAAAAAATCTATTTCCTATACACACAAATTTAAGATGGGTTTCACTCTACTTTTTCACTCTCTTTCCTTGAAAGTGGACTCCAACTATATAAATGAGCCGGTAGCAGATAATTATTATCTCCTATTACCCATATATAAAAATCTTTAAAAACTTCAAAGACGGAACACTGACCAAAATGTCACATTTCCCCGACTTTTTTTTTCTAAACATCACGCCAACAATGTTATTTCCCTGTATGCCACGTGGCAAGTTCGCTACTTCGGATAGCGAACTTGGTTACAATTAATGCACTTGCATGTTTCCACCTGTCACGATGACACATGGCAGACATGCAACATAGTTCGCTAGAGAAACATGCAGGTGCATTAATTGCAACCAAGTTCGCTACCCGAAGTAACGAACTTTGTGTCCACTAGGAACGTGACACATCAGCAAATTGAGTTGGCAAAAAAATTAATTTATTGTTTTTTTAATAAAAAATTACGAATAAGTAGTCGTTTTGAAATTAATTACGAAAATATAGCAGTTAAACACGCCCCATAAGGGCGTGACCGGTTGGAGAGAGACACGCTCAATGTTGGGCGTGACCGAGGAGAGAGACACGCCCAATGTTGGGCGTGTTTCACCAGGTGCTGCCACGTGGCACAAAAGCCAACAGTTTGACCGTGAAACTTTGGAAGTCCATAACTTTTGACTCGGGTATCCGAATTAGGTAATTTTTTTTTTGAATCCACATAACTTTTCGAGATCTACATAATGACACCTCATTTGGCATATTTTGTCTCTCACAAAAAAAATTAAATTTACAATAATGATACCATAAGAACGTTTAAACAAAAATTAATGGACAGAAAACCACTGTTATGATTAGAAACATTCATAATAAAGATCCTTATGATTATGGTAAGTTATGATAAGGTTAATTATGTATGTTATTGAGATATATATTAAAATTTGGAATGAAGAATTTTATGAAATTTATAATTAATAAAAGTTAACATATGTCGGTGACAGAATATCAAATAATTTATATTAAAAAGTTAAGTGAGTGCTTTTCGTTTTATTTTGATTTTTAAGTTTTTGTTCGTGATTATAAAAATGTTAGATTATTTTTAGTAATAATTAAAAGGTAACAAAGTCATGTCATTTTTAATAATTATGGTATCATTGTTGTAAATTCAAATTTTTTTGTGAGAGACAAAATAGGTCAAATTAGGTGTCATTACGTAGATCTCGAAAAGTTATGTGAAATAAAAAAAAATTACCTAATTCGGATACCCGAGTCAAAAGTTATGGACTTCCAAAGTTTTACGGTCAAATTATTGACTTTTGTGACACGTGGCAGCACCTGGTGAAACACGCCCAACATTAGGCGTGTCTCTCTCCAACTTGGTCACGCCCCATGTGGGCGTGAGTCACGCTTAGGTCACGCCCGACATTGGGCGTGTCTCTCTCCAACCGGTCACGCCCCTATGAGGCGTGTTTGACTGTTATATTTTCGTAATTAATTTCAAAATGACTACTTTTTCGTAATTTTTTATTAAAAAAGCAATAAATTAATTTTTTTGCCAATTGAGTTTGCTATAGTGCCCAACGAACTTGTCCACGTTGCATATTGGGAATTAACACTGTTGACGTGACATTTAGGAAAAAAAAAATTAAGGAACAGTGACATTTTGATCACTATTCCCTCAAAGACCGCGTCTCCAAACATCAGGATTATATGTCTCCACAATTACATTAACATGCCACCTCCAACAATGTGGCGTACACTAACTAAACACATATCCACTATATATATATATATATATATATATATATATATATATATATATATATAGGGTTTTATAATTCTCATTCATCATAAGAATTGAAATCTTCTTACACATCCTTTGATTTCCGTGCTGACGTGGGTCCTACATATAATTTTTTCTAATATATGGATCTCATATACTTTTTATCTCTACAACATAAGATTTCAATTCTCATGTAACTTGAAAATTATAAAACCCATATATATATATATATATATATATATATATATATATATATATATATACACACATATATATATAGGGAAAAATATTTCTACAGCCACGTTAGATAAGGTTGTCTACAGCTACCCATTTTTCACTAAGTACGATCGGTCGTACTTAGTTATAACAATAAAGCTGTTTCTTTTTTTCTCTTTCCTCAGACATTATCGGCTGACGTGGCGGACAGAGAAAATGCAATTTTAATGTACGATCGATCGTACTTAGTGAAAAAAGGTAGTTGTAGACAACCTTATCTAAAGTGGCTGCAGAAATATTTTTCATATATATATATATAAGAGGCAGCAGCGTGTATCAACATCCTCCTCAAACGAAGATAAAACTTATCACCAACTAAGTAGATAGACTCAAAGAAGTTCTAAATACAATAATGATGAAGAGAAGGAGAATGCATATACCTGAGATTTATATTGGGCTTCTGGAAAGAGTGTTGAAGCAGGACATATCGTTGAAGGAAATTTGAAGTTGGGATGATAACAAATAGCACTCAGTGGAAGTTTTATAGGAGGATTCTCGCCTGATAAACATTTTCCCTCCACAAAGTGAGAGCAGTACAAATACAAAAAGTCACCGAAGAATTTTTAGTATAAAATTTTAGTTGAAACGGTAATAGAGGGGCACATGTGTAGAAGATGAAAGGATTAAAGCTTAAATCATCTCACGTAGGCAATTAAAACCCTCACGTAACTAAGATAGCATTTAATGCTTCTGACATTTAAGGTCTTATCAACCGTTTTTAAGTGGTAGGCTGATGAAGGTATTTACATTGGCAAAAATAAACAAATGTGGAATGAGTTATATAGCGCGTAAAGGATAATAGTAAACCATCACGCAAAGAGACTATGGAGTATAACTTATGTATCTTACACCTTATGCTTACAAGCATAAAGCTGAGTTAGGGGCTACTGATCTGGATAAATGTATAGGCCCATGAGGTTTAAAGCCCATAAAGGGCCCAAAAAAGCGCAATGATCACATTACGCAAGATACATTTACCAAGCATTGCGCGAACTATAATATTAAGCCGCCTTATATAACTTAAAGGCTAAGAAAATGCTTTATAACAAGATGAATTCCACTGCGCATAAAAACCAACACAAGAAAGACAGCTCCATTTTGCCACCACTCTAGGGAGACAGGCTACTATATAGACTTGATCACCAAGGAAATAGCCAGAAAAGGCACCAGCTGAGACAGAAAGGCACCAGCCCACAACAACCAAGAAGAAGGTATGCTGCCTACCAAAGGCGGCACAAAGCTTGCTATAAATACGAAGGGTGCAAACTCAGGTACGATAATCTTATTACCATTCAATATACAAAAATCTAGCATTGATAATAACTTGAGCGTCAGAGTGTCTTTGTAGGTACACCCCAAATATCTTCCATTGCGCCAGAATCACACAATAACCCTCACATATACAGGAATCATCTCAAGCCCATAAATTATGACATATAGCCCAAAGTCTTCAACCTTCAACCTTGTATGCTAAACCCATCTTGGATTTATTTTTAGTTAATTCTTTACTAATTATAAAAGTTATATTTTTTTCATTTCATTTTTTTAATTTTTATGAAAATTAAGAAAAAATAAAATATTTTCCATTATCTCTTTCACAAAAACTTGAATGAAAAATAAAACAAAAATAATATAACATTTTTATAATTACAAATAGAAATATATTAATTGAAAATAAAAATTAAAAAAATACATGATTGTTCAAATAAAAAAATTGTAAAAGGATATACACAATATACTTTTGTTTTGTCTATAGAAAATTATAACCTACGGAGTCTATGTATAAAAAAATTTTAGGTCATTATAATTAATTAAGATTTTAATTATGAAAAAATGTTTTCTTGAAAGTTGTTTGTATTAAACTCATTGTTTAAATGGGCTTTTTCACCCTTTTGCCCCTCATTAATTAATTCATAATTATTTTGCCCCTGATTCAAAGCTATTTACCAATCTGCCCCTCTTTAATCGACTACCTTGCATTTTTAATCGATTAAATGGTCAAAACAGGCAAAAATGACTGTTGGGAGATTTAATCGACTAAATCTCCCTATTTAATCGATTAAATCTCCCAACAGGCAACAAGGGAAAACAAGTCAGTATGATTTTTTAATCGATTAAGTAGGGAGATTTAGTCGATTAAATCTCCCAACAACCATTTAATCGATTAAAAATGCAAGTTAATCGATTAAAGAGGGGCAGATTGGTGGATAGTTTTGAATCAGGGACAAAATGGTTATTAATTAATTAATGAGGGGCAAAATGGTCAAATAGCAGTCTAAATGTATACAATAGGTGAGTATAATATCTTTCAAAATTATTTTTCTTTTATGTATGTGCATGCATTCTTCTTTTTTTAAACAATGTTATAAAAAAAATATTCGTACTCAAATATGGTTATTAATAAGTTATTTTTTTTAATTGAATTCAGTTAATTTAAACTACATGTTTCAATTAAAAAAAAAAATCAATGGAATGCAACATGTGCTTGATACTTGTGAAATTTCTGCTAAAAAAACAAAAAAAAAAAACTTGTGGATTTTTTGTAAAGTAACATAAGGCTTTTTTACCGGCTATTTGACCATTTTGCCCCTCATTAATTAATTAATAACCATTTTACCCCTGATTCGAAACTATCTATCAATCTGCCCCTCTTTAATCGACTACTTTGCATGTTTAATCGACTACATGGTTGTTGGGAGATTTAATCGACTAAATCTCCCTACTTAATCGATTAAAATCATACTGACTTAACCTTTTTTTGTCAAATATGGAGATTTAGTCGACTAAATAGGGAGATTTAGTCGACTAAATCTCCCAACAGTCATTTTTTGTCTGTTTTGGCCATTTAGTCGATTAAAAATGCAAGGTAGTCGATTAAAGAGGGGCAGATTGATAAATAGTTTCGAATCAGGGACAAAATGGTTATTAATTAATTAATAAGGGGCAAAAGGGTGAAAAAGCCCTTTTTTACCTTTTTACCCTTAATTAAATAAAAAATAATTATTTTATCCCTGTTCCAAAACTATACACATATCTGTCACTATTTAATCGATTACATGATATATGTAATCGATTTGATTAACTGTCGAAAATTTATTTTAATCGATTAAATAATCGATTAATTGCAACTCTTTCTTACTCAGTTTTGCATTCTCGGCTTTTCTCCTAAACAGAGCATGGCTTCTCTTGCATTCTCTTTTTTTTTTCATCCTCGTCTCGCTCTATGCTTCATCAACCTCAGGTAAACATGTCTCTCATTCTTTCTCTCTCTTAAAAATCCAATATTTTTTTTTTATTCTGAATTATGGCTCTGTTGATTCATTTACATGGCTTTTCCGATGGTTTTTTTGCAAAACAGGTGAACTGAAAATGTTGTATATTAAGTGTGCGCAGCAAGCAAGAGTTGCTATGACGAAAATATTCTTGGAATGGAGGAAAAATTGCTATTCATTCAACATTTCAGAAGTATTAATGATGCCATAATACAACAAAACACAACCAAAACCAATGTTTAGATACTAAAATGGTTATGGATGTTATTATAAATATTGTATGTCTAGTGATGGAGATGAGCTTCAGCATCGTAACTCAGCCTTGAAGATGCACTGTCGATGGATATGTGAAATGAATACTTGAGTGAGGAGGAAGATGTACTTTGGTGCGATAAGCACGAGCGAAGAGAATGAATATTCAACACTTAATCGATTAAAATAAATTTTCAAAAGTTAATCGATTAAATATACAATTTAATCGATTAAACCGGGATAAATCAGTGTATAGTTTTGGAACGGGGGCAAAATGATTATTTTTTATTTAATTAAGAGCAAAATGGCCAAATAGCTAGTAACAAACCCTTAACTTGAAATGTAAAATCTCATCTCAATGTTCATAATATTAGAGTTGTATCATATTATTCCTTTCAATTTTTATTATTAAATATATTTTTTAAAATATTAACACATTAATGGTATAAAATTTTATGATACATTCTCCAATTTTTTTAATGATACTAATGAATAAATTTATATTTTATGACAACACTTTAATCTTTTGTAACAATGAATCTGCTTTTATATATAAGATTAAAGCACACCAACTTTAATTGATTTAAATTCTTTATGTATTATTATTTTTTAAATAATACATGTTATTCTTATTTTTTAAAAAAATTTATTTGGATTAATTATGTCTATATCTCTTATAATTTTAAATATGAGGCCAGTTATATTTACTTCCAGTTTATATTTACTACCTCTTGTTATTGATTTAGATTTTAATACAATCGAATTAAATTTAGATCCTACGCCTATAATATTTCATTCACCTCCTCTATTAATCTACTGATAATACAGATAACAGTAAGAGGTGGTAATTATAATGAGCCTCTTTAAATATTTATATTTTAATATATATTTTAAATTTTACTTAAATATTATGGCAATTTTTTTGACAAATTAACAAAGTGTTTTAGGAAATTGCATTCTAATTTTGAAAAACTTGTATGATCACGTGTCAACGCATGCGGTATTGGAGTGTCTCGGGCAAAATCTTCCGCGGGTGAGATTATCCACACCTTCCGCATATATAAACGGCACACTCTCACCGGTCGTTTCGGTTTGCACTGAACCGCCATTTTTATGCAGGATTCGAAAAAGGCAACACAGTGAGCTCGCAGTGTGAGGTTTTCCCCGATCAAAAACGTCGACGTAGTAGCAGAAACCCTAGGAACCTTCATTCGAATTGCACAACGGTGGAGGTCGATGGCGAGCATAAGGCCTCTGCCGGAGGCTGTTCGTAGCTCAGTGCGTTCTGGCATTTTCTTGTTCGACTTGGCGCGTGTCGTGGAGGAACTGGTTTTCAATAGCCTCGATGCTCGTGCTACGAGGGTATCTCCTATCTACACTTTGTGTTTTGTTAACCGTAGAGAGAGAGAGAGAGAGAGAGAGAGAGAGAGAAAGAGAGAGAGAAGTGGAAATTGCTTTAGCTTTGAGAATTGTATCTATACCGTTGAACTGTCCGTTGTCTTTGTTTTAGGTATCAGTGTTTGTTAGCATTGGGAGCTGCTACATAAAAGTAGTAGATGACGGTAATTTATTTATTTATTTATTAATAGGAATGTATATGGTTTTTCTTCCATCTTCATGGTATCAATAAATGTGTTTTAGGAGGTGGAATTACTCGAGATGGACTGGAATTGGTGGGAGAAAGATATGGTATGTATTGACTAAATTTTTTGTTCCTTGACTCTAAACATATTTGTTAATAAAGGTCATTAAAGTGATCAGACCACTCGGATTCAGTCTTTTGCAATGTGTTAAACTCAACATCTAAAAAGCTACAATGAGTGGGTTTTTATTAGGCTATATTACATGAAAAGTATGAAGAAAAAAGGGACCCTATGAATTTGAGTTTCCTTGCTGCCTTTGATAATTTGATGAATGCATATTGAATTGAACAAGCAGCAACATCAAAATTTCTTAATTTGGCTGACCTAAATGCCACAAGTGGAAACTTTGGTTTTCGTGGGGAAGCTTTAGCTTCCATTTCCGAAGTCTCTTTGTTGGAAATTGTGACAAGAACATATGGAAGGCCAAATGGATATCGAAAAGTATTGAAGGTGGGATGATTTCCTATGTTCTATTCATTATTACTGTTTTATTCAGGCAGACATTAATGACATTATAGCTGCTATTGATGCAAGTTTTATTCAGTCTTACTCTTCCATATCGACTGCAGGGCTGCAAGTGTTTATATCTTGGAATTGATGATGAAAGAAAGGAAGTGGGCACAACAGGTGATAATTTTTGCTGAATCTAACAGAAGCATGGTTTTTATTTCTCTATGTATGGGGGTGATACTTATTAGTGCATAGATGGCATTCATTTTTCCCTAAATTTACGGGGTTCTTACATGATAGTATGGGATTTAGAGCCATGGAAATCCTTTTCTCGTACTAATGTCTTCCCTTTTGTCTTTGGACTTCCAATTTGAGCTAATTAGGATCCCAGGAGTATTATTATATTGTTTATAGCTCCTTCATTTTTCTTTTGGCTTTCCTGAGATATGAATATAAGTTTTTTCTTTTGTTGAATCCTTTAGCAGATATTTTGATAAATATGCTGCTTTCTTGGTTAGTCAGTAGAGGAGTCTTGGGTTTTCCTAATTTCATTTGTGGATTAATTCTGTTATTCTTCCTTTGGTTCACATGTAAAGGAATGATCTGGTTTTTATTTTGCTATAATTGTCATCTGAGCTTCTGATTTTTTTGATAATTTGTTTATCAAAAATACTTTTGTTGTTGATTGGTTCATAAATATCTCAATCATTGTTTTGACTGGTTGGTGTTGCTACTAATTATGATTTGGGAGCTATACTGAAATTTCTTCTTCATGGAAAGCTTCCACACTTTTACAAGAATAATTATACTGTTTTCCATTGTTTTTCCATGTTTTGATTGGTTGACACCCGGAGGAAAAATCTTGGAAGCTGGTTTTGTTGATGTAATATTTCATGGAAGCACACCATTGCTCAATTATTACACATTTTTGTTAATGCAAGATCCTCTGTGCAACTCAACTTTTGCTATAAATATGCATTTTTATTTGTTAAATCACGTCTAGTGATTGGCATGCTTGTTTGATTGGGATCATTCACTGCCGTTATCTTTCACTTGATTGATGGCTAGATTAGACAACTTTTGATTTGTCTGCCTCCCTCCACTTGATAATCAATCTTTCCTTTTGCTTGCAATTAAATTATTTGCTCTTACAACTTCTCTTCCACACTGGGAAATCTACATTATCTGTCCATATTTATTGCATTTATGCAGCTAGAAAATTCTTTCCTGGTAAAGATTATTTTTATTGACGATTAGTTGCTAAGTAAGGTCTTTTGTCTGTCAGTTGTTGTTCGTGATTTATTTTACAACCAACCAGTTCGGAGGAAATACATGCAATCCAGGTTCTTTTCTCTTGTCCCATCATACAAGTTATATGTTTTCTGAAGTCATAGTTACCTTGTATGAAACTATGGATCTGTTTAAAGATTTGGAATTGACTGATGAATTTCGTCACTGAATTGGAAGCCCCAACAAGGTACTGCAATCAATCAAGAAATGTGTACTGCGGCTTGCACTTGTGCGCCCAAATATTTCCTTTAAAGTTGTGGATATTGAAAGGTATCTTCCCCACAAAATAGCTAGCTGCATCTTCTTTTTCTTGGTTTAGTAACATTCTTTTTACCCTACATGTAGAGAGGATGAGCTTTTTTGCACACATTCTGCTACTTCTCCACTGGCACTTTTAACCAGTGGCTTTGGGGTCGAGGTCACAAGCTCTCTTCATGATTTAGAAGTTGAGAATGATATCATAAAGCTTTCTGGATATGTATCTGGTCCTTACAATACTTCGAATATGAAGGTGATTTGTATTTCTTATCTAAAAAGTCATCATCTATCTCATTTTAACCTAAATTTTGTGTAGATTCTTTCTCTGTCTCCTCCCCTAACTTTTGGCATGTTTTTGTATTTGCTTTGCAGGTCTTACAGTATATCTGTATCCTTGTGACTACAATTTTAAACAGAGTAATAATGGCACTGAGTGGATGAGTTGAGGTTAGATGTTAAATATAGTGATAATGCTGCTGAAAAGAATCAAATGCCTTAAACACTTGTACTGTTGACCTTAGCATGGTTAGATGTTAACTCACAGTTTGTTTGCAAAGGCCCAATTCATAAGCTTCTGAGTCAAATGGCTATTAGGTTTGATCATCTGAACTCATGGAACACTGATCATGAGTTCGAAAACAAGAAGAGAAGTAGGTCTCAACCATGTCCAGCTTATATCTTGAATTTAAGTTGCCCCCGGTCTTTGTATGATTTGACCTTTGAGCCATCAAAAACTTATGTTAAATTCAAGGTATCTCTTTGGCTTCTTTTCTCATGATATGACTCATTTTATATGTAATTCTGTGAGTTGTTAGTGCATACTTTTTTGCTTAATGTCCATAAATGATTTTTGTAGGGTTCTAGTCTAGATTCAGGCTTATATAATACTTCATGTACTCTGGTGGTGTAAATCAACTCCAATGAGGAACAGTTATCAGAGATTTGAAGATTTTTTCCCATGTTATAATTTCATTATGAATTATTTTATCACAACCAGGCACACTCCATGAATTTGATTGTCTGTTTTTCCTCATATATTAAGGATTGGGCTCCTATACTAAACTTCGTTGAGAAGACCATCAAACAATTCTGGGAGGCAAGAATAGCTTGTGGTATACCTTCTCACTGCATGTATTTTTATTACTATTCAATTGAAGTAGTTAACAGTGGGGTTACCATTATCATCCTATCTTATTCATATATAGTACAATGAATTACTTGTTTTTATGCTTCTACTAATCCCTGAGATTCTTGGAGCAGAGTCCTCCTGTCAAGCCACTTACATGGTACAAGAAGATCAACAACCATGGAAAGCTGACGTCAACATCATTTCAGCAGAAGCAGGTAAAGTTTCTAATTTTGGTGATCAAACAGGGAAGTTTCAGCAGAAGCTGCTACAGTGGATCATGTTGGGTTGGTTTCTCTTATAACATTTGAAGATTGTTGTTTTTGACGTAGATATATCAAAATTTGGAAACCAAAATCGTAAGGATTGCCTAGACCTCTTCTTTTCCTCTTCAGACAAGCTAACTGAAGATGACTATCATCAATCCAACAGGGAAGATGTTGGAACCACTCTTGGTTACTCACATCAAAGGACTGCAATGTTCAAAGAGCTACAAAGTAAGGGAGACTTTTTTTGTCAGACTGGTTATTCTGGCAATTTACTGGATGGTTCATATGCCAAATGCATGTCCACTGTACTGAGAAAGCGTGACAGTTTGATGATGTGTGATAACAATGGTCTGCAAGGAGATTACCTTTTGGATGGTAAATTTCCTGCTGCAGAAAGTTTATATGATAATGTACCTTTTGATGCACCAAGTTCTTCACATGGAAGAAAATTCCATAAAGTAGATGCAGATGCAATCAATGAATCATTTGAAAGTGATTTACTTTATGACTGCCATGGGTTTAGTTATGATGTAGAGTTTAGTGGGGATTTTCAAAAGCCTTTTCTAAAGAGCTGCTCTACACGAGAAAGAAGTATCCTGCATCAGAAGGGTTGCTTTGTTAATGATGAACATGAACTCCAAACTGATAGCTTTTGGAGCAAGCAAATTCTGAGGGATGGTTGTGGCAGTGGTAAGGATTTATATGATCATCCCTGTCCAGAAGTGTTGAAAAAAATAAAGATGTCTAAAGATTCTGATTTTCTTTCAAGAGCTTTGGCTGAAGAAAATTGTCTGCCTCCAGATTCATGCTATTTGGCAACAGAAATTGGAAGCTGTGGGTCTGATGATCAGTTACTAAATTCAGAATGGCGTCCTGTCTACCAAGAACCTATATCTCAAGCCACTGCATTGGGTGTTTATCATACAGCTGATATTAATGATCTTGGAGAAGTATCTAGACACGGTAAAAGGATCTGTCATACTAAACTTTTGGATGACGAAGAAAATGAATGCAACTTCAGCTACAATATGTCAAGGAAGGCCGACCAACATCACTGCACCTCTAGTTTTGCAGATACTGTATTTGATTTTGATGGTGCTGTTGATTGTAGTGCAATATCTGACAGATTAGTTGACTGGCCCCATTGTGATGGTATATATTCTACCAAAAGGTCAGATATTTTAAATGAGGAGCCAGACTGGCTGTTGCCTGAGTCATGTGTAAGAAACTGCAAGAGACCTAACAAGAACAAAGGTAAAAGGGATCATTTTAGACATCCAGCTTTGGAGAAGAATCATAAAAGATCTAGAAGAAGCTTTTCAGCTCCACCATTTCATAGAAGCAAAAAGAGGTTTTTCTGTTTAAATCAGACTTCAGAAATGATAGCCAAAAGACCTACTAGCCGAGCCACCAACCTTACTTTCAATCATCGAGGTTTTCCATTGTGTGTGTGTGTGTGTGTGTTTTCCCTTTTTTTCCCTTTGCCCCCTTTTTTTAATGTAGCAACAATTCCAAAGAAAAGAAATTGGACTAATGCTTTTGAATCTGCAGAAGCTAGTGATTTTAAATATCCTCAACAATCTCCGGGTGCTCTTCACCCAAGCACTGAAGATCTCTTATTGCAAGAATTCAAGTAAGATAGTCTCTTATTGACCATTACTTAAGCTGCTGAACCGTTGGGAATAACTTCTCACTGACCCTTGTGGTTTTGCCCTGGTCACAGAACTAATGTGAAACAGAGGTCAGATGTTCTGGGAGATACAGAGGTTAATGATATTACAGAGATTGATGGGTTTGGAAGTTTCAACATTAAAAACAGTGCTCCATTCAGGGGTGAGTTCACTGTGTTAGCAAAGCTGTAGTCTTGTCTGGCAAGATGAGATCATTAGAAATACTTAGTATTGGCTCATAACCATGTTCAATATTGCCCAGCCTTGAAGGAGTGAGTTGAAAGAGATCTATTGCTTAGTATCTGGCCTATCTTTTGAGATTATTTGAGCGATTAGTTGAATTCTAAAATAAGAAGCTTCTTTACAATTAATTTCTTTGTCCTATGTAAAGCTTGATGTTTCTCTTTGTTGTTTAGCAATTTCTGCCAAAAACAGAGTCCAAGAATTGTGGAAGTTTTGTAATTTACATTATCTTTCTGTACTGAAAATGTTTACTGTCAATCTAATCGGATTATGCTTGTGATTTATTATATCATATCTATGTGATCAACAGTTGAACACTTTTTAAAATATTTCTTCTCATTTAACTCTTAATTTGCTCTTAAACCCATGCTATCTTGTATTTCAGAATTGATCTCAAGGGAGGTGCAAGATTCCATAGATTACAGGACCAAATGGAGGAACTGTTCACCCCAAATTCCAGTTATGTTGTCAATCTCTAGAGGCCTATTATGTTACATGAGACATTTGTTAGCATGAAGGATGACTTTGTAATCTGACTATGAGTTTGACCTTTGTGCAGAAGAATGATAAATTGATTGATATTCAAAGTCAAAACAGTATACTTGACATCTCTTCTGGGTTCTTGCATCTTGCTGGAGATTCATTGATACCTGAAACTATCAGTAAGAAATGCCTTGAGGATGCCAAAGTTCTTCATCAGGTGGATAAGAAATTCATTCCAGTTGTGGCTAGCAGAACCCTTGCTGTTATTGATCAGGTCTATCTATTGTACATTATTGCTGTATGGTTGAATTTCATTCTTAGGTGACATAAATAGAGGCCCTTATTGAGCAATGCAAAACTGAGTATAATGGTAATTTCTGAAAGGAAATATCATTGACCTGAAATTCTATTAAAAATCACACAATTGCTTGTATCATAAAGTTTGGCTGCCCATATGCATGCATACTTGTATGCACTTTTACTCAGGAGCACTGTAGTTATATTGGCCTATGCAATTTCATCCTTACACAAGCCTGGGTTCTTGCTAAATGCACATTTGTTTTGAAAAAACCACTGTTACTAGGTGGATATTTATTTGGTGCATCGTACTGCATGTTTATTTTATCTGCATTTTTGCCCTGGTGGTGCAAAGAAGGGTGATTGTTTGGTGAGCCATGAGGTAGACCCAACTTAAGGTAGGGTAGGATTGAGCCTATGGCATTAATGCCCCAACATTATATAAGACAATTTCATCATTCTTAAGCCCTAATATTGGAGGAGCAAATACCCTGAAGAAAGAGAATTAACTACGATACGCATAATTTTTCCAAAACAACCAAGCATAATGGATATCTGCAAGTAAACATCTCTGAGTGATCCATGAGGCTAAGGCCCTTCCTGGTAAGCCTCTATGTCCCATTTGTCTATTACAAGCCACTCACTGACGTGGCTCAGAGCACATAGCCTGCAACTTGTTTATTATTATTATTATTATTATTAAATTTCCACTCTCCTTTCAAACAAGCACACTCTGCCTGCTCTACCCCTAAGACACTCACATCATCTCTCCTCAACACCCTTTGCCTCTCCCATAGGCTCTATTTGATGGAAAGAGATGAAATGTAATGACATTAATTGCCATCGTTTGAATTGTTTATAATAGGGTGGAATAGAATGAAATTTGATGGAATTTCTTCCATCCCATTCCTTCCAATATCTTTATTTCCTGTGAGCAACTAAAAACAGAAGCATGTCGGGTAATGAGTCTTGGATTCTTGGTGAAGAGGTTAGCTGACTGGTCAAGGTTGCCAATGGAGACAAGATGGAGAGCTCCACAAAAAATGTGCTCGTGAATGAATTGACAGTCAATTTTGATGTTTGGTGTGCTAATGAAAACATCAATGTGGGTAATCTGAATAGCGTTTTTGTTGTCACAATAAAGAGTAGCGGGGAAACTATTGAGGAACACCCAAGTCTTCAAGGAGCCGTTGAATCCAAAGCATCTTTGAGGTAGTATTAACAAGAACACAATATTCAACTTTTGTGCTGGAACAAGCAGAAAGAGTTTGATTCTTACTACGACAATAGATAGAGAATCACCAAGAAAAATGAAATAATTATTAGTGGAATGACAATTAGTAGAATCTCCATCTCAATCCGCATATGAATAAGCTTATAGAACCAAAGGACATAGACAACAAGCTCTGATACCATGAAAAAGGATAAAGGGACAAAGGCAAGAGAATCTTTATAATATTTTCAGTGTGTATTAAGTCCAAGGGACTAAACGTATTTATAGGCCTCTGTAAATAAAGACAAGAGGTGAAATAGGGGAATATACAATGAATTACAATAATATTCTAATTACACTAAATATGGTAACTATGCTAATAATATTTTTATTCTAGTCCATTACATTTTCATCCTATTCCACCCATCATTAGATATCCAAATACTGACCCATGGCTCATCTTTTCTTCTTCCTCGCCTCTCATTGGACCTCGTGGCATGGCTAAGATTTGTTACACGCAAAAAGCTTCAGAGATGCCCTGTTAATTGCTAGCACACATATACATGCACATTCTCCCTGATAAAGAATACTGTATCAGTATACAAGTATTGTATTTTCATATGCATACCTGTTCTGTTATGCAGATAACAGTGTTTTATGGTTGGTAGTCAGTTAGTTGTTAGTGAGCACTTACTGACTTTGACAGCCTAGCTGAGTAAGCCGAGTTAGTCAGTGACAATTACACTTTCCTCCTCTTGTATATAAACCATCCATGTATGACATTTGAAACCAAGATAATCAGAATCAGTTTTTCAGATTCTGTTCTAGCTCTCTTTCTCTACTTTCTTCCACTTTCCTTCGCTTTCTATTACTCCTGAACAGCAAAAACCTCTATTCTGGAAAGTTGGGTGTGTAACATTGATAATAGTTCTGTTTTTACAGCATGCTGCAGATGAAAGAATCAGACTGGAAGAATTGCGTCAAAAGGTAAGCATGTTCATATTGAATATATTAGAAATATTTCTGCAGTATGGCTTACGAAACTAGTTAAACTCTTAGGTATTATCTGGAGAAGCAAAAGCAGTAACCTATCTAGATGCTGAACAGGAACTGGTATGGATCCTATGCATTAGAGGGTCTATTGTTAATGTCATTTATGACATGTTTTTTTCAAGTCTTTAGATTCTTACACTGTTAAATGCATGATACAGGTGCTGCCAGAGATTGGTTATCAACTACTTCATAGTTATAGTGAACAGGTTAAAGATTGGGGCTGGATCTGCAACACTCATGCTCAAAATTCTGAATCCTTTAAAAGGTATACCTCTGGCTGTCTTGCAGAGTTTACCCTGATCAATGGTTTCAGAAGATAATTAATGTTACAGAATTGCACAGTCTTTGCTTATTGCGAATCTGCGATAGTGAACTGAGACTTACAATGTCTGCTATTTATTTGTTCATGGCATGCATCTCAAGTTAAATGATAAAATAAATTTTTAAGTCAAACTCATACAATTTGTTATTATGGTTTCTTTAATTTATAATTTGGATTTCCTTTACAGGAATTTGGATATTCTCAACAGACAACCAGCCGCCATCTCACTAATTTCGGTCGTCTTTTTTCTCCCTTTAATTTCTATTTGTTCACTAGCTGAAACATATTGATCTTTTCAATTTCTGCATTTAATATCGTCAACTTCATTGTAAATTCAACATGCAATCATTGCTATATGCCTTGCATGCGTTTCATGTTACTGATGTTCATTATTTTATAACTACTTGTAGGTACCGTGTATTTTGGGTGTCAATTTAAATGATGCTGATCTTTTAGAATTTCTTCAGCAGGTTATGAAAATCCTTATCAGAGCCCTTTTTTTCCTATACGTTATCTTTTCCTTTAGTAATTGGACATTTTACTTCTTTTAAACATTCAATTTATCTTAACCTTCAGCTTGCTGACACTGATGGATCTTCAACAATGCCCCCCTCTGTTATACGAGTCTTAAATTTGAAAGCATGCAGAGGTATGTGCCTAATCTCACTAGCTACAGCAACTTCATGCTCAGGGGGTCTGGAAAGCCTTGTTACATTATGTGCAAAGCTGTCTTGATAATAACAATCCCCCGGACTAGCTTTATTCATGGGAAAAAACACTCTATTATTACAACTTGTATGGAATTGTAACTTTATTTTATCAATAGCATGTGTTAAATCCCCACCTGTTGGCAACCTATTCATCCTCAGTGTTAGATTTCCTTCTTTATTTTTTGGGAGGGCATACATATTGCAGTCATCGGCAATATTCCTATAATTATATCAATGCTTGATTGTGAAGGTGCAATTATGTTTGGGGATTCGTTGCTACCATCAGAATGTTCCCTTCTGGTTGAAGAGCTAAAGCATACATCACTTTGTTTCCAAGTAAGATATATATTTCCATGTTTGTGCATTTATTGAAAGGAAAGGCAGCATACATGACAAATTGAGGAATCTGCTCTGCAGTGTGCTCACGGGCGACCAACAACTGTCCCTCTAGTTAACTTGGCGGCATTGCATAATCAGATAGCCAAGCTTGGGCTAATGAATGAGTGCTCAAATGATAAGTGGCATGGATTACGTAGACACAAAGTATGTATTGAACGGGCAGAACAGCGTTTGTGTTCTGCTAGAGGAAGTTGAGACTTTAGAAGAAACTAAAGTTGTTCCTATTACTAACAGTTGAGATTAGTTTGTGACAGAATTCATGCTTAACTTCGAAGCCATTCTTTGTACTTTGAGTGTACAGCAACATTAAGGGAGTAAAAAATAATGAGACAGCTGCTTATATCGATATTACCGGAGAACGCTATTCTCAAATTGTGAATGTTCTGTGCCCATTTGAATTTGACTGTTTTATGGTAATAACGGATCGAATTTGAACGCAAAAATAAAACTAAAAAAATCAAAAAATCTGTAACCGTCGTTGGCCCTTCTTTTCTTGTACTTGATCACCTTGAAAAAGCAGGGGCACCTTGCGTCCTTGGAGTATTGTTTCAAACTGTTAAATGCATTTTGAGATGGGAAAAATAAATCTTATGTTGTAAGAGAATTCTAATTTTATGTTATAAATACATCAAGTGTAAGATTCACCTATTTAAAAAAAAACAAAAAATAAAAAAAATGAGCGGCACACTTTTTTATGGTGTGTATAGGAAAAATTTGTTTTCTCATATAACATGAGAAAAACAAACTCTTTTTTGAGATTTGCGCTATGAAAATAATTCATATAATGGTCTTAACATCTGTAAAATTCTGTCACATTGAAAAAGAGAGACGCTCTTAGCAGGGAAATCTTGCATTATAGATATATTACCAGTCTCGGCTATGCCACTATCATTTTTGGAACTGGGTACAATAGAATAGACTGATACGGAAATGAACTTGTTCTAGCAGTCCTATGTCACGATGCAAAATTCTTCCCCAGTTTTTAGTAGCTAACTAATTTGCAGTACGAAAGGTAGAGTCAATTTGTCTCCAAACTTTCAATTTTAGATTATATCGACGGGGTCCAGAACCAGTATAACCATAGCTGTCAACTATTCACTGTGTATGTGTACAAGCCTCTTCTTTACTACCAGTTGCAGCACACAGGGCCTTCCAGACATGGACCAGCATTTTCACTGGTGGACGTAAATTCTAGCAAACAAATTTAGAGATCCTTCGTCAGTAAGTACATGACCTCAAACAACCTGTCTGAATGCTATTCCCAATTAAATGCCTTATTAGGTGACTATTAACTCTTTTTACATGTTTAGCCTTCAAAAAACAAGCAATGGTGTTTCCATCTTTTAAAGCTTCCTGTACCTAGTGAAAAGCTTAGAAACTGAAAACTAGTGAGACGAAAGATACTTTACCTTGAAAACTAAAACCATTTCTGATTCCCCACGAATAATCAAGGATAGAGTCCAGTAACAAGTCACTGGAGTAACACATTCTAGTAGAACAGGTTTCAGAATCTTGTCAATGGGAACAAAGTATCGGGTGACTTTTCCACTGTGTCAAAGCATCGGAAGACAAAATAAGTATTATAATATTAACAAATATGTAAAAACCATGCTGGAGTTACAGGTATCACTACGAAGGCCAAGCAAGATAACTAGTTAAATGAGCTGATCTGACAGCTAAAAACAAAAACATAGAAGATATTTTCATCACGAATCCACTATGCAGTTCAAATACCCATGCCAGATACAAGCGAGGAAAGTACATCAAATTTTTCTATTCTCGAGCATGAATAGCCTAAAGGCCCTAACATAGCACTATCATTCCACTGTCTTAACCTTTCTTCAAAAGACAATAATAGAGTACACAATCCTTTACAACACAAATTATATATTCATACAGTAGGCACTAATGCGCTCTTAACAAAATGTTGAATGATTACTGAATAATTGATTAACAAAAAGAATCACCTCATGTAGTGAGTCTCAAGCTGTACTCCAAAAGCTGGCATAATCACAACCGACTCTGCAAGCAATACAAACATTGTGAAAATGACAAAAAGAAGTTACACATTTAATTTTCCTGGTTACAATAAAAAATAATAATAATAATACTTTCAGAGCACCATAAGACCTGTTAGTCAGGTCCTCACCTTTCTTAATAGGCTTCCCAAGTAACAACTTGACAAGAAATATGTCAAAAAGCAAGCTGAAATACACAAGGCTTATTGATTGTTCCTGTTAATAGAAGGGATATAATCAAGTAAAAAAGAAATAAGTGAGGTAAAAGTCATCAAATTTTCAAAATCCTTGAGTCATTCAAAAAACAAAAATGTTGGAAGACATACCTCAAGAACATAGAGATAGACGGCACATGCTAATACAAGAAGTGCTGAGACATAAACAAAAAGATGTTTTGTACTCCTCCTCCTCAAAACTATATGGTGTATGTCAATATCTTCAGAGCGATATTTCTGATCATGCACGTAAGTATATCTGGCATTACTTATTGAGGATTTGACCATCCTGAAACCAAAAAAGAAAAAAAGAAGAATCCACAAAATCTCAGTGATCATAATTATAATTAACAATTCATTTATTCTATGAATTTGTGTACCCTAAATATGCAGCAAGGCTTATACTTCACACCTCAAAATATTCATTCATTAAAATAACAAAACTTCACTGAACTTACATGTTAACTTCAAACAACATAAAAGAATTCCGGAATAAAGCTGAACCAAGTTCCTTACAACTACAGACTCAACCATACTTCACGGCATGACCAAATTCATCAAATTACAATTGAACATTCATGCACAGAGTCTTCATAAGGTAATGTTTCAGTCCTTCCAATGCTTTAGGCTTACCCTAACACCAAAGCAAAAGGGTCCTGAAATAAAATGCTGGAGAATAGCACCCAAATTAGACTATGGAAATCTTCATTGCCTCATGGTGTTAGCAGTCATATACAAATCATCAACTTAAAAAGAAATTAAAAAAAAAAAAAAAAAACTGGTAAGTTTATCACAGAATACATAATAATGTCCTTCACAACTAAAGATCAGAATGCTTCAAAACATAATAAAATTGCTCAAAACCATAAATTAAATAATTATGTAACGGATAAGAAGTGAAATTGAATGAAATTCACGTAAAGACGCATTCCATACTTAATAAACACAAACGAAAACCCAAAAAAAAAAAAAAAAAAAAAATAGAAGATGAAGAGTCAAAGAATCAAAGACGCGAACAATTTGAGAATCAACACAGAGAACAAATTTGAAAATGCGCGAGACTTGCCTTTGGAGGAAGCAAACGACGGAGAGAGAAGGCACGGTGGTGGCTGAACGGAGGTGCTTCGCAAAGCCTTATTCAGAGTGGTTTAGTAAATTTCTTTTTTTTTAATAAAATGAGGATTAAATTACTAATGTAGTTTTAAAAAAAGGTAAAAGAGTTCTCATGTTGTAGGAGAATTTTTTCTTATGTTCACGAGAGTTCGTTTTGCGTGAAATAATTTTTTTTGTTTTTTTTTTTTATGTGTGGACCCCACTATTAATTTGAATGTGTAGAAACTTTCTTCCTCTCCCATAACTGAGAAATGCATTGCCCTTTAAAAAATTATAAACATGAAATTAAAAATGGGATATATTTGGAAGTTAGTGCCTAGAATTAGTTACTCCTTAAATTTATTTATTGTACCTGTTAGTCTTTTAATTTACAAAATTTGTATTTGTAAGGTTAGTTTTCTTTTAAAGATTTAACTAGTAAGATAATAAAAGAATAAAATGAATACCGGTATTATAAATTTAAAGACAACCTCGTGCACATAATTAAATTTATGAACTAAATTACTAGTAAAAATAATAATATTATGAACAAAATTATTATCATTATTTTTTGGTAAATAACAAATTTATTAATTTACTTAATAAAAAATGTGAAATTCCATAGATAGACGAGGTTTTATGAAATGAAAATGGGGAATATTAATGTCAAGTAACAGGATATTAAAATTTTTTCCTACACAAACAGATTTTAGTGGGTCCTATCATAAAAGAAAAAGAAAAAACAAAAAAAATGTTTGCACGCTTCTCGATGAATCAGTAGAAAATTTGTTAGCCATCAGGTTACTTGACATATACATTTCCCAATGAAAATTCACATCAAATACATAAAACTACTTTAGTAATTAAGCCCACTAGTTAGTTGCTTATCTGGATTTCATGATTAGTAATTCATATTTCTTGGTTTGATTTGTTTTCATCCTCCAACTAGATACAAATAATTGAATAGTGATGATATTTGCAAATTTGTTGATATTTTTATTCTAGAGATTTTGCATAACACGAAAAATTGCATTTGAATTATGTCAATGGCTAGTAAGAATCAAAAAGTTCACCATTTACCCTCTCATTGATAGAGTGATTAGAATTGTACTCACTCTTCCGATTTTTATAGCAAGTACTTTTATTAATGGGTTCGTTTTTTCTGCAGTTATTGCATATAAGTTATCTGTAGTAAGTCCAATACGACATCGTTTTGGGGGCAAAAATCATAGTGTTTTTGTAATTTTAGTTTATTTCAGGGTTATAGTAGTCTTTATATTTATAATTTTTTAAGATTTCAATACCAAAACAACGTCATTTTGAGAATAAATGCAGATAATTTATCTACATTAACTGCAGAAACATTTTTTCCTTTATTAATAATATGAAAACACATAAAATAAGAGTTTGTAGTGATCTTAATTTCTTTCATAATTTGCTTTCAATTTTTTTATATTAAATCTATATTGTATTAGAAGTACTTTTATTTATATATAATATATAATTTTTTCACCCCGCATCATAATAATTTTTGGCTCTGCTACTGGCCGGAACATGTTTAAGGTGTGTCATCCCTAAACATTTTCGCCATGCAAGATTTGAAATTCACTGTAGCATGATTGGGGTAGAACCACAACCATTATGTCAGTGAAACTCTGCATGCATAAAAGTATGAGGTTCTTCAATATTTCCTGAAACATGAATTATCGATGGATCAAATTATTTTGCTGTTTTTTTCATCAACATCATGTAGATGCAATTTTCTGTCATGCTGAATTTGGCAAATTGTTTTATGTAGTTACTTTTTGTCAAACGATGTTGGTACTATTAAAGTATTTTCAACTTGCACGAACTTTTATAAGTTGCAGTATTGTATGATTGCCACTAAAAATGCTGATTTCATTCAACCTAGATTGATATGATAGAAGAGGAAAGACTTAATTACCAAAAAAAAGGAAAGAGGAAAGACTTAGTAGTCGCAAAGGAATAAAACTTAGGTGTAACAGATGTATTTAACTGAATATATATATATATGAGGCAGGATATTCTTACACCGGTATAAGAGTTAGAAGTCTTACACCCAATCTTGACCATTGATCCACTTGTATCCAATGGCTCATAATACTAAAAAATTAGAGCCCTTAGATATAACTGGGATCATTGGACAAGATTGGAAGTGTAACTTACACTGGTGTAAAATGATCCTGACCCTATATATATATATATATATATATATATATATATATATATATGGCAAAATGATTTCTGCAGCTGCTGTACCTACAGCAAGCAAGGATACACGTCCGAATCTTAGGATACGGCAACGGATCGTGAGTTTTTTTTTTTTAAAAAAGTCGTGGGACCCACTTTTCTGTGTCAGCTGTAGATAACACTATCTACGGCTGCTGCAGAAATATTAAGCCCTATATATATATATTTTTAAAAGGAGAAAATTATTCAAGTGAGAATTTTTTTTCAAAAGTAGAGATTTTTTTTTTAAATGTGAAAAAAAATGTACTCAATTAGATACATCTAATTTACCAAAAGTTTGTTCGTTGCAGAGATGGTTAGATGTTAGAAATATTGTCTATTTTGTGATGAATCTTGTATCTCTATGGTCATGATGGAAGAAAAAAATGTATAATTTTCACTAAATTAACAAAGGCAATTGGTGCTATGTGTGGAAAATACTGCTATTTTTTTTTTTTGTAAATGGAAAATACTGCTATTGTTATAAATTTATTATGGAAAAAATTCAAAGAAAATGTTGTCAATATTATGAAATAAGGACTAATGAAAGATTGGCTTTCTGCGAAGGAGCTAAGAAAGAGAAAATAATGTTTTAGGAATTTTATTAGATGATATTTAATGCATTTGGCATTTAATATTTGTAATTTATTTTATTTTATTTATTTTATAAATTTATAGTTTTGGCTTTAGCTATTTGAATGATATTTTATCCATTTTTATAAGAAGGGTAAAATAAACATATTGCTTAAGTTTTTATTTTTTAACACTATTAAGGAGTGATTTGGCTGAAAAGAAACACAACGAATAAATTAAAAAAAATTATGAGGCAGGATCCTTTGACATCAGTGTCAAAGAAAAAGTTTGACACCTCATCTGAGAGCCGTTAGATTAAAAAAAATCAATGATGTCACATGCTTACAAATCAAAATCGTTGATTTTTTTTAATCTAACGATTCTCAGATGAGGTGTCAAACTTTTTCTTTGACACTGATATCAAAGAATCCTATCTCAAAAATTATAAGAGATAAGTAATTTTAAGACAAATCACAAGAGAATATTTAAACTTTTCCCAAAAAATAAAGGTACAAATCAATCCAAAACTACTTGCTCACAAAACGAGATTTCTAAAATCATCAGGAAAAAAGAAGGAAATTCTTGGCATTTGAGTCATGATCATTCTTAAAGACAACTTACATGTGCTCGTACACCAAATAGTATACTATCCATCAACGCAACACATCAATCTACTGTACTGAACATAAGTTTTGATGTGCATGTGAACCTATCCCCACAACTGTTTATCTGTTTCACTGACATTGTAAAGGAAAATACTTTTATTATGTTACATAATAAAAATATTATCTCATGCACTCATATTTTTTCAAATGAGTTTTATAAAAAAAAAATTCTCTTAACTTTAATTTTTTATTTTTTTTATTTATTATTTGGGTAAAATAATATTTTTTTTATGTAACATAAGAAATATTACCCCTAACATAAGAAAAATATTACCCGTTTGTAAAATAGTAGAGGGCGTTTAGTACGTGGGATTTTTCGGAATTCTCGTCAAACTGAATTTTTCTAAATTCTTAATTTTTGGATATTATCATAAACTGAATGCAAAAATTATAATTTTAAAAATCGAGATTCTCGACAAATAAAAATTTTTCGTGTACCAAGAGACTCAATTTTAGTATGGGAATTGACTTCTGCACCATCACCTCAAGTTTTTCCTTTGGTAGTCTAGCATTACTCACATGTCTTTGTTGTGTTTTAACAACCAAAATAGACACAGAAAGAGAGAATGAATGACAGTTAGGTAGTGTTGCAGACAATTACCGTCAGACAAATTGATTCAGATAACTTGCTATAAACAAATTAAGGATGGACAACACAATAGACATACACTCCCCACACCTTTCATTAGCCTTGGTTGGTTCAAAAGGATACTTACTCCTCAGTTTAGCTGATTTAGCTCATGATAAAAGTCTTGAATTTTATTAGGAATACGTTATTTTACCTATCATTTTTTCTGCCTACCTTCGCCTACCACCCTCTAACACCGTTAGATCAGAATCTCAAGAAGAAAGAGAAAGATATATGTTAGTTAAGATTATGATCTAATGATGAATCTCAAAAAGAGAGAAAAAGATAAATATTAGTTAAAATTATGATTTAATGATATTTTAAAATTGTAGCCAAAGATAGGCAGAAAAAAATGAGAGGTAAAATAACCTATCTCATTCTATTAACATCTCTTTATTAACAGTGTTGAGATATATATTATGCATAACTTTAAGTACTAAGTTCAAGTAGTATTAAACAATAAATTTTGAGGCTGATGCCTATAGAATTTGCACCGATGTATGCCTCTCATGGAGGATACATGTGGTTTTAAAAAAAAAAAAAAACTGAATCAAATTTGACTTCCATTCATGATATTTGGTGCAGGAAGATGCCCTCCCACATAACTCATCATTGACATTCGACTTTAAGAATAACAACTATAACACATTTCCAAAAGTTAAAAAAATTATAACGACAATCAATCGATTTTCTGCTTTGAGAAAATAACTTAATAATTCATGCCAGTTATGTACAGTATGATTTACCAAAACTCAATGCCCCCTATATCACAAACACTCACACCAAATACTACATATATGTACATGTACATATTCATGCAGTATTCCATTAACACAACTACATCAATTATGCTGTTATCTTCCAATTTGTGTAATAATGTATAAGCCTCGCTCCAATGTGCATAAATCTTTTATTGTCACAATGGTTATGTAAAAGGATATTTGTCACTACAACTCAGAGCATATCCTTTGTGAGTTCTTCAACCAGATCATCAGTTATTAGACATTCTATCTCTCTCTCCAATATATTGATCTCATCGTTTATTAATCCGGACCAGGGTATGGATCTCAGGTGTTGAGCCACCAAACTCTCAAGTGAATAAGGAAACATGTCAGATGGAGGATATAAAGAAACACGGATAATGTCCCATACTAAGTTCAGCAGTTCCTTTCCGCAAGGTGGTGGCAACATGCAAGAGTTGCTTAATTTCCTTCTGAATCTTGAAAACGTCAAAGGAGGTCCAAGAACAACTGAAAGTGCCTCATTTAACAAATCATGTAAAACCTTATGGTCTAGCTTATTCTCATTCTGATCCTTTATATAACTTTCATCATTCTCCTTGACCAATTTCTTTTGAGATTCTTCCACTTCTTCAAAAACTGAGTTGCCAATAGGCTTTGCAAATGTGTCCCCTCTTAATAAAGATTTATCCCATGAACCAAAGTACAGTCCTGAAGCAACAAGTAAATCTCTTATGTAAGATTCTGCTGGATCCTCTAATTGAATTAATTCTGAATCAATGGGCTCATGTTTCGCAGTGAAGTCCTCAGCACCATCAGATTCAAGTCGACTGAGTTGCCTCCTTAGCTCTGTCAAATCAACAATCGACAAGATCAATAAGCAAGAATATGAAATCTAAACAAAGGTGGTAAAGATATTCACTAAGCATTTTAAAAAAAGAGTACAAAGAAAAACCATCCTTTTTCTTGTCATACATGAAACACATTTTTTATCTCATATAACTTCTAATCAGAAACACCAAAATCAACCCAAAACACAGGTCGATCCCTCTGAACCTGTCTATAATATGGGTTTTATAAGAGTTATGTTGTAGGAAAAATGATTGTGTAATGTTATAGAGATTCGTTTTGCGTGCGTTAGTTTTTTTTTTTTTTTTTGTGCTTCAAAAAGTGTGGGTCCCACAAAATGTTGTGTGTGTGTAGGAAAATTTTTTGTGTCATGTAACATGATAAATGCAAACCCCCTATAATATTCACAATATTCAAATCAAATTCCATACTGAAACAAAGTTTTACTAGGCAAATTGTTTCCATACTGAAGCAAAGAATCTGCACGTTCTTTGTTAATCTGTAATTATAGCCCAGTTTTTATAGGATATTGAAAAGATATATCAAAAGGGTCCAGACATAACAATTCGTGTCAAAGGTGGTGAATGAAAGAAAAAACGGTCATATATATAAGAACCCAAGTTCCGTTACATGGTTGCAGTGACAGAAATTGTATAGCCCTTGAAGCAAGTTATCCTAACATAAAATTCTGAATGGAATTTAATATCAAAACCAACCTCTGATCTCGCTAGCTAGTTCACTGTCCATTTGAAGAAAAGAATAAAGGTTTTTCGTTGATATAACTTAATATTGCACATGCAATATTGCACATGAACTAAAGCCATATTAAAAACAACATTAACTGCCTTTTCATGAATTAAGTCTATGATATCATTGCTCAATGCATGAAGTTAAAATTATTTCATACCATTCAAACCAGAGCTGATATCTCTGAAAACCTGGGGCACAACATTATCATCTCTTGAAGATACATCTGGAGTTGATATTGGACTTAAATATTCAGTCCGCCTCCAAAAGTCTTCATGAACACTGCTGCACACCGATGCAGGACTAGGAGGTACCTCAGTGGAGTTCTCCTGAAGTCCATATGACAGAAAATATGGTGATCAGATAACAACCATATATGAAATATAATTGAGAACAAAGGTCATCATGGAGAACGGTAACAAAAAATATATGACCAACTTACATGCCTATCACCATAGTTCATGAGAACTGTTGGTCCACTTGTGACATCTCTCACCATTGGATCATATTCATTGCCATGTGATTCTACCATTGATTGAACCCTTTTACCAAAAAGCTTCCCTCTCAGAGCAAGACTATATCTAAAATTGGAGACTCTTTCTTTAATATTAAATCTATTTTTTTTCCGCTTTTTATCATCAACAGACATGGTTTCAACAGCTTCAAGCTTCCTCCGAATATGGGCACCAGTTAATACGTGACGGTCCTCTAGAAGAAGCTTCCCAAATGATGTTCCCGATCCTGATACAGGAGCAGACAAGGATCTTACAAGGTTCCTTGGGGACAACTCCTTGTGGAGCAATAAATTGTCATCTGGTTCGTGCCTGAAAGATCCTGTTTGTGTTTCCTCTTTTGAAATTTCCCAGTGGTTCATGTCATTTTCACACTTCATATTATCCCATGTTTGCTTTAGTCGAACTCTGTGATTATCTAATGCATGTGACCTTGAGTTCCCCCCCGGAATGTCAAGATGTGTTTCCCTTTTCACAACATTTCTCAGCCTCTCTGATAAGAACTTCCTGGTATCTCTACTGATAAATTCTGGGGAACTTGGTTCATTGAACTGCATTTCACTTTTGTATGAACTTGTTGATTCTGACCTTAGTAAATTTGTGTCAGCATCTCTAGTCACACTTTCTCTGACTTGCTTTACTATATGACGGGCTATTAGTTTAGGATCAGATGGTTTTTCATTGTAAGGTGCCTCAATTTCACTTCCTCGGACCACAGAACCTTTTTTGACAGTTTTCCCTTGCAGTTCACATTTCAAACGCTCTTTCACCTCCTCAAGAAAATCTTCTATACTATTTCTCCCTTGTAAAGTGCTTGATGAACTGGTCCAATTCTCTTCAAGGTTGCAAGAGCTATCTGGACCAGGCTTCAAGATAACTATCCGAGTTGGAGAAGGAGACGTGTCTAATCTGTTACGAGATTTAAACATTAAGGACTCCTCAAAGTCTCTACTTAGTGTTCTGCTCCTTGAAGGAAAGGTTTTCCTTTGCCTAGCAGGGATTAACCCCAATGTATCACCACGATATTCTGAACTGCCAATGTCAGGTATCTCTGCTTTGAATGAGTGGTTGGCAAGCTCTGCAAGTTTCTCTGTTGCTTCTCTTTGTACACTTGCATTATGTGTCACCTTTTCCTTGTTCAGGTTCTCTTGAGCTAGCACTTGTCTAGAAACACTGCCAATTTCAGCAAACTTTGAACACTCTAGAAACCTTGCTGCTTGATATGCTTCGAACTCTTTCTTGAATTTTTGCAGTTCCTCTTCCTGAGGATGTTCCCGTGGCCTTGGTTCTCCAAAACTCTGGGTCCATCCATCATCATCATCTATGTCATGATAAAATGAATCCAATTCCATCTGGCTAGAAGAATTAAATTTGGAAGAACCCCTTTCATTCATTCCCTTGTTTGAAAACATCTTCCCCATGTTTTCACTTACTCTTTTATCTGATGAAACAACATATTTAGTGTCTGATGGCATCATATCTATCCCCATCAACCTTGCCACAATGCTTGGTGCATTTTGTCTGGTGCTTGATCGTTTGGATAGCTCCTCGTTGATTAGTTTTTTCATTGAACCCACGTTTGAATGCCGACTATTCTTAGACCAGTCTTCTTCTATTTTATAATAGTACTGAAAATTCAAATCAGAGTACAATTCAAGAATGAGAAGAGAAAAACATGTTATCATGAGATATACAATAAAGAAATGTGAGTTTACTGTGTCACACATGTGAGTAAAATGTAAAATGAAAATATGAGAAGAGTGATATAAAAAACCAGAACTATGCTTTAACCTTTAGCAATTTAATCAATTAAGATGAAGGAAAAAAAATCAATCAAATCCATGAAGCCATCATTTATAGAGATGATAAAATGTTTATATTTAATTGAAGAGATCAATGTTGTTAGAATATATAAAAGATATCGTTTAATGTTAAGATTATATCTCAATATAGTTTAGAGTATCCAAAACGATATTTTAGGATTATTTTCCCTATTTCTTTATATTTCATGATTTGATTCCTTATTTTAGGAGTCCCCTATTTAGTATAAATATACTAAATAGGGTTAGTGCCTTGTCCTTTAAAATCACATCAATTACCTCACAACACATAATATTCCGTCTCTATTATTCTCTCTTACTTTTTCTCCATCTATACCTAAACCCTATAATTTCAACAAATGTCACAAAGGTCTGGTAAAATACTCAGTTACCCACTACAATTAACGGGGTTTTAACCAAAACTCAAGCCTTGAACATAATGAGCCCTATACATGTACTCTACCTACTCTCACACAACCTTGAGGGGTCATTCTCAAAACTCAAGAGGAACATATTGAACAAAATTTGAAAGACCAAGGTTACCCAGAACACAGGAATAGAGGAAGAAAATATGATGGTCTTTTTTTAGACCCTTATCAAGACATGTGAAGAAAAACTTACCGGTGATTCTCCTTGTGGACAGTAGTTTTGAGATGTTTCTACTTGCAGATCTAGACTATTCCGAGGAGCTTCCAGGCCTGCATGGAACACAATATAATAACAAAATAAGCAAAAACATAGCAAAATCAATATAGCAGAGGGGCAAAATAAAAATTTCAAGACTTTATAACTATTGAGAAAAAGAGGGGGGAAAAACCCTGAATTTCAGCAAGATATCTCTAAAGTTGTAACAAACTAATCAGCCTGTTCAATTAGACTGTTTTACCCCATTTAATGATACCAATAACCTTTTTAACATCACAAAATACAAAATTGGCAAGCAAATTAGCTACTAGCGGCTTTCCACTTGCAGGAATGAATCATAAGAAATTAGTGCACAATTGAGCTTCCTTATAGTGTGTCTGCCCTCTGTAGAATGTACATGGTACCTAGTAATTTTCTCTTAAAATATATAAAACAACACTTACCACCATGATGTTTCTTACGAGCATGGACTTTCTTGGCCATCCTCCCCTGATTGAACTCAAAAATGTGTAATAAGCCTCCCATAAATAGAAAGGGTCTACCAAAAGACTCTCATGTCCTCAATTTCAGCTTCTATGTCTCACTCCATTAAAATTTCACTGATCTTAACTTCCTTTTTTGTATGACAATATCCTTTTCTCGTTTGTACCCTACAATGCCCCAAGTTAATAAGGTATCAGTTAAAGAGAAGTCAGAAGTCTATAACAGAAAAATTGAAAATCAGAATATCTTAAAATTTAATAAAAAAATAATAATAAGATTGATCTGAATTGCATGTAGAATGCCTTTATAGATCAAAATTAGCATAAACCAAATCAACAAAAACAATTTAGTATTGGGGGAAAGCATGCAGACCAATATCTTCCAGTGTTAAACTAAACGACGAAGAGTTTGACGATTCATATGAACAGGTCAACTTAGCAAAATCTGAAAACTTTGCTTTCATGTTGATCCAAAATAGAAAGAAGCTTTCGAGTGGTATAATATAAGCACCCCCCCAATAACTCAAATCAGTTTCATTTTCAGAATTCATTCATGAAAAGAGATTCACAAAAACCCAACAGCAGGTTTCTGAGAAAAATGTAGGAAACCAACAAGTCCCAGAACTCTGAACCTCAACAATAATAGTTTTGTCGAAGTTGAACTCACTGCAAGCAATTAGCTTTTTTGAACATCAACCCTTCTACGTTTAAGAACTATAAACATTGTTCTGCGTAAAAAATGATTCACAGATTCAAATTCCCACAGCTTTTCTGGGAAACCAAACACATCAATGCACAGACAAGAAAATCAACATACCAGTGACTGGTGAGAAGATTCAGAACAAACAACGTATCAAGAACCAAACCAACAGCTCAGAATCAATCACACATTATGAAACGGGGAAGATGGGTGTGGCTGAAAAGCACCAAAGCTTCAAACTTGGTGAAAAAAATTGAATTGGGTCGAACGAAAAGGTAGAAATTGTTTGTAACTGGGATTGTGTTTTATGAGGAAGAAACCCATCCAAGAGAATAAAACTTAGTCAATAATAATAGTAATAATAATAATAATAATAATAATTAATGATAACGTTGATGACAGAGGAAAAGGCTACGAGGTTAGGGTGCAGAAGAGAAAATGACATTCATTGCTGGAAATAATAAGTGAGGGAAAGCGAAGGTTCTGTCTGCTATTTTCTTTATTCGCTAATCATTCTCATGTTCATGTAATTCTTTTCTTTCTTCTTTTTTGTGATAAATTTGCTGCCAGTAGTGTTTATGATGTTGAAGTGGCTAAGAATCATAGTTTCTACACTATGACAGCCTCGTAGGTTTCTCTTTTTTATTTCTTTGTGAGGATAATGCTAATATTTAAAACATAAAAACATAATAAATATATTGAATTAGTGAAATATAAGACTTAAAATGAATTTCAAGATAAATGTAATAATATTAGAGGAGGAATGTTATATTTATAACTTTTTTTTGTTTACAACCTCTTACAATCATATCTTAACACCGTTGATTTCCATCAATCAACGGTTATTATTTTCGTAAATTAAAGTCATTAATTAATTATTAATTCACAATAAATGATAACTGTTGATTGACGAAAAATAACGGTTAAGATATGGTTCTAAGTATAACTTTTCTCGTATTGCTATTTTATTTATATAGATTTTGTTTAAGTTTTTTTAAAAATATTTTTAAAGATACTCTAATTAAAGTTTGAAAAAAAATATTAAAATTGATTTTTTTTCATATTCTTATTTTTATTAATATTTTATCTGATTAATATAAATTTTTTAAACATGTTTTTAATTTTAAAAAAAGTACTTTTTCTTTGGAAAAAACTCAAACAAACAGATAGAATAATGAGATTGGTAATTTCTACGAAGTTTCGAGGAAAAGATAATGATCAGTAAAGATTATTGAAAAGAAAGAAAGAAAATTCACGGAAGAGAAAAGGATATGAATAAGGGTTTTCATTTTATTCTTTAACATAACACAACAAATTTTCTTATTCTCACAACATTTTGTGGGACCCACATTTTTTAAAACAAAAAAATAAATAAAAAATTAAAGCACGTAAAACGAATCTCTATATCATTACATTTTTCTACAACATAACTCTTATAAAACCCTACGACAATGTTCAAAAAGCTTTTCATTTTCTTTTTAGTTTTAAACTTTTTTCAGTCTCGTTTAGTTTTGATTACTTTTAATTTGGAAATTGAAACTTGGTAGGGAAATAAATCTCGTACTTTGCTTATTAATTAGATGTGACATGTTGCTCTCATGTCGGAATGCAAAGTTTACTACATAAATGCAAAAGAAATACGTTAAAGATTTTTTTTTTTAAATATTTCAATCAATTCGGGATTAGTTTTATTTATGATGGGTTCTGAAATTAAAGTTTTGTATCCTTTTAAAATGATACTAAAAGGATCGAATATATATTCTCACTCTCATCTGCTCAGTTTCCAGACATTAACTGACATATCATTATTTGATGATTTTTTTTTATATACAGCTAAAGATATATAAATATATAACAACGGTACAATTAAAGATGTTAGCTATAGTTCAGTTATATTAAGAGACGAATTAGATGATATATGAGTTGTAAAAGAAGCAAATATTTTGGAGAAAAACAAATTGAATATGGAGGTGCACATGACATGGTGGTATATGCAGACACAAACTTTATTTAACACTAGTAAGTATTTTGGTATTCCATATATATATATATATATATATGGGCAGGATATTTTTATACTGGTGTAAGAGTTAGAAGTCTTACACTCAATCTTGGTCATTGATCCACTTGTAATTAATGACTCACATTATTAAAAAATTTGAGCCCTTAAATATAAGTGTGATTAACGGATGAGATTAAGAGTGTAACTTACACTGGTATAAAACGATCCTAACCCATATATAGGGCTTATCATTTCTCAAGCTGCTTGAGACAATGTTATCTCCAGCTACTAAATTATAACCGTACAAAATGGATCAATGATGATAAAGGAAGAGAGAAAAAAAAGAATGATAATATTCAAATATGAATCAATTAATATAAGGAAATAAATAAACAAAAACGACGTAGTTTTGGAGTGGCCGGAGATAAAATTATCTCAAGTAGCTTGAGAAATGTTTTTCCCATAAATATATATATATATATATATATATATATATATATATATATAGGGTTTATTTTTTCTGCAGTTACTGCATATAAGTTGTCTGCAGTAAGCCCAATACGACGTCATTTTGGGACGAAAATCATAATGTTTTTGTAATTTTAATATATTTCAGGGTTATAATAGTCTTTATTTTTATAATTTTTTAAGATTTCAATACCATAACGACGTCGTTTTGGAAATAAATGCAGATAACTTATTTGCAGTCAAAGTTATATATATATATATATATATATATATATATATATATATATATAAGTTCATTTTTTTTAATAAATACATATAAATTATCTGCATAGAACCTAAGATAATGGACAACAAAATAATGTATTTTTGTAATTATAATTATTTCAAGGTTATAAAAGTCTTTATCATTATAATTTTTTAACCTAAAATGACATCGTTTTGTTAAAAAAATTTAAAAAATGAAATCATTTTGTGAGTGAATATAGATTACTTATCTGTATTTATTATAAAAACATTGGAAGCCTATATATATATATATATATATATATATATATATATATATATATATATATATGAGAAATAATTATCTCATGTTGCATGAGATAATTATCTCATGTTGCATGAGACAATTATCTCATGCAACAGGGACAAAATAGTGGGGTCCACTATTTTTTTTTTCTTTTTTTGAAAAAGTAGTGGATCCCACAATTTTATCTCTGTTGCATGAGATAATTATCTCATGCAAAATGAGATTAATAGATCCTTATATATATATATAGGTAGGGGTGTAAATGGGACAGGCTAGCCCGACCCGGCCTACATTGAGCCCGGCCCAGACCTGACCTTTCAGAAAAGTAGAGTAGGCTTAGACTTATAAAAAAAAAAAAAAAAATTAACAAATAGGCCATAGGCTAATTTTGTCAAGCCCGACCTATAGCCTTGTATGCTGGCCTATTTAATTTATTAAAATAAATTAAAATCGATGTTGTGAATGAAATTTGCTCCTCGTAAAATTGAATATTATGAATATTGGTTTGATTCTTGTAGGTAATAATAAATTAACATCCACTCCTAAACTTTGTACCAAAAACCCAAGAGGAAAAAAATAGTAATCGAGACAAATTATAGAAAATATTTCATTTCAGCTACATAATCTCCCTCTTAGCTTTCAACTATTTTAATTGTAACAGTTCCTTCATGAATTGATGCTTAATATCCTATGTAATTTATGCTTTGCCAGTTGCTACACATGACTTATTTGACATAGCATTAGCTTCGTTATGAGAAAAACGCGAAAACTACCAAATTCAACAGTGGGAGGCCTACAAAGCCTGTAGGCCATGTCGGGCTTTCTTATTTTTAAAAATGGGTCGAGCTTGGCCTACAAATAAAGCCTTTAATAGGCCAGTAGGCCAGATAGGCTGAATTTTTTTTGACGTAGGCTTGAGCCAGGAAGGCCAAAGCTTAGCCCAGCCCAGCCCATTTACACCCCTATATATAGGGACTTATTAATTTCATGTTATTGGAGATATCTTGTCTCATGTTGTGGAGATAAATATGTGGATCCCTCTAATTTTGTTTTTTTTTGTAAAAATGGACTCCACATGTTTATTTTTGTGACATAAGATAAAATGTTTCTAACAACGTAAGAAAATATATATATATATATATATATATATATATATATATATATATATATAAAATCATTTTATAAGAGATAGCTTTCTTATATTTTCAGATATCAAAATATGTTATATATTTTTTTTATTTTTGTTTTTTAATAAGTGGTGAGTTACATGATTTGTTGTATTTATGATATAAGAGATGTTATCTCGTATAACGAGAAAAAAATCCAATATATATATATGAGTTTCTTTTGACTAATTTTTAATTTCAATAATCTACATGGTATACAAATATAAAATTTTCACTGCCGTTATCAAACTACATAAACTGACACGTTACATATTGATTATTGAGGTTATTAGTAAGCGCACGCAACCAACAGCTCAGAGGTGACAGTTGCTTTTGCAGTCCATTTCGCGCCACACCACATTCCCTTTCCATTTATTTATGAGAAAAATATTTGTTATTTTAAATGACAGAAAGTTATGTTATTTTACGAGAGATACACACAAAAAATTTGAATTTTAAATTAAAAAAACCATCCACTTTCTCTCTTCTATGATTTCCATTTTTCTGTGTCTATCTCTCTTCTAAAATGACACAACTTATGTCATTTAAAATGACAAACAACAAATCCTTTATTTATTTATTATTTTATTGATTTGTGTTAATTGTTCCTCTTTTCGTCTATTTCATCCTCACTATCGCACACACGCGCCATTTCTCACGTCCACTATGCTTTGTGCAGAGAAAATAATAATAATAAATGAAGAGTACCGGTTTCCGACTTTTGGCGCCCTCTTCTCTCTCTCTCTTATTTTGTACAGATCTCTCTCTCTACATATGAGATTTTAGAAATTTTATATAGAAATGAAAATATGTGTGATTGATATAAAAATAAATAAATTTCATATGTTTTTATGTGTATATAGAAGATAAAATTATCTCTTATAGTATGATAAATATTAATATATTGTATGTGATAAATTTTATTTTCTACATATATATAAAAGTAATGTTATTAAACTCGACCTGGTTATTGACCTGGTCGAGGTATTGGGTCATTGGATCACTGGTTCAATTGCATGACCCGGTAAGTATATATAAATCTACAATTTATATTAAAAAAACTATAAATATACTTAAATACTTGTACAAAAATATACCAATTTCAAATATTTTAATATGAAAATAATAAATTACACATC